CTGTGTGTGTGTTGTGTATGTTTGAGACAAGGTTCTAAAACGCGCTAGGTGGCGGGTTGGGGCCTAGCGCCTAGGCGGGGATCAGTCGGGCCCTAGGCTGAGTAGTAAAAATACTAATAAATTTATTTATATTTAAAATCATGCATGACTTACAACTATAATTTATAAAATATACTAATTAGTATGGTTAAATACAAAGGTTTTTAAAGATATTCTTATAATTATTATATTAATTTTACATAATTATTATTTTTTTTATTTTATAAATTGTACATTTCGTATAAAAATCAAAAATTGTTTTTGTTTAATTTAAAAAAAAAAAGTTCGAAAATATGATGAAAAATTGTACGGGCGCCTAGGTCACCGCCTAATCAGTTTAGGCGTGATTAACTTTGCAACTATCTGGACCGCGTAGGTGCCGCTAGCCCGCCTAGGCGGCGCCTAATTGCCTGAGCGCCTAGAAGGGCCGCCTAGACGAAAATTGGGGCCCCCAGGTGCCGCCAAGCGCCTATGCGCCGCATAGCCCGACTTTTAGTACAACGGTTTGAGATAGAGTTGATACCATTGTATGGTCTTTTTAGTCGTTCCGGTTTAATTAGGAACATGGTTTTGTCTGGTGATTTTACATCATTGCATTTTATGATTTATGTTCATTCATTGGATCAGCATAGCATTCACCAACAACTATTTGGTTCTGTTTCTTTGCAGCCCTTGTTTCCAGGCAGTTTGTTGACATGTCTCGCATACGCATTGAGGGGTACCTTGCAGCTTTTCCCAAATTAGTTGGGACAGGGAAACAACATACTTACATTGAGACAGAAAATGTTCGTTATGTGTATCAGCCGATAGAGGCCCTCTACCTCCTCCTCGTTACGAATAAGCAGAGCAACATTCTTCAGGATTTGGAGACATTGAGACTTCTCTCGAAGCTTGTATCCTATCTGACGATGAACTATTGTTACTTTAAAGATACTGGTGCTTTTTTGTGTTTGATTTGTATTCACACTTGCTTGATTACATAAACTCTTCGAGATTGTTTTGGTTATTTCTTTCTGTTTAAAAGTTGCAGCAAACTAGCAGTTTCTGTGCATTTATTAGGAAGGATGGGGCGTATTTTTTGTTTAATGCTTTTCTTTTTCTGAAAAAATTTTGCATCCAATGTGGAACTCATTAAGGGTATGTTCAAATAGCATCTCTTCCATTTTCTCCAGTCTTTACCCAAGCATATATTTGCTTTTCTGATGCATTTCTTTACATATAACATTTTCCTATGCATCATATCAAACTCCACTCTCCGCAACAACCCATTCACTCGCTAACAAACACATTCAAAAGTTTCTCTTCTTTGTTTATATGAGTTGTGGCTTGTGTTCCTTAACCCTCTTAGGTGCCTGAGTATTCTTATTCCCTAGATGAAGAAGGCATTGGCAAGACAGCTTTTGAAATTCTTTTTGCTTTTGACGAAGTTATCTCACTTGGACACACAGAAAGTGTCACAGTTGCACAAGTCAAACAGTACTGTGAAATGGAAAGTCATGAAGAAAAATTGCACAAGTTGGTCCGGCTAAGCAAGATCAATGAAACCAAGGATGTCATGAAGCGAAAGGCCAGTGAGATTGATAAAAGCAAGGTAATTACTTTGGGTCTCAAGTTTGATGCTTAAAATTTTGCACAAATTTGAAATTTCCAGGTCACGGAGGGACTCACTTATTTTGTGAATCATCTAGATTGAGAAGAATAGGGGTGAGAAGGGTGGATTCATGTCTTTGCAATCAATGGGTTCTGGAAGAATTGATACAGGGTTTGGCAGTGACAGCGGCATATCAAATAGTGGTGGTTTTGGAAGTGGTTCTGGATTTGGAATAAGCACTGAAGTGGAGTCCTTCCCTAAGGCTAAAGGTTTGTTCTCAAAATTCAAAGCTACTAAATAATCTGTACTAGTCCCCTTCAAAGGTTTTGGAATGAAGTAACACTAGTTTAAATATGCAACTGCAATCTACTTATTTCTTCTTTGTTCCTTTGGTTTATTCTCTGTAGCTTGTAGTTTTATCTTCTCTAAGAGAACTATTTCAATCTTGTCATCCTATTACACTGCAGAAAACCAAACATGGGATATTAATTTGTAGTATAGGCCATCATTCATTCGTTATGTAGTGAAAATGCTCATGAAATTAAGAGAGAATTCTTTCATCACAAACATACCTGTGATATATATGGTGAACTCAGGTAGCTGAATTTGTGTTTGTGTATCAGTAGATATATTCTTTTCTTTATTCTTTTATACTCTGCTGACCATATTTTACCATGCAAATCACTCAACTTGTTAAAATATTGTCTGAAGGGGATCTGTTGGTTTTAATGCTGCTATTGCACCAGTAGACATGCAATTTATGCAGTTTTCTTTTTAAATAACTCTTGTTGAATCACAGCTCCCGTCTTCAACTACTTTGGGTTTATTACATGCTGACAGGGCAATCTTTTATGAGATTTTTTACAAAAATAGAATCTATGGTGCTGAAATTGTTGACATCTATTTATATATGCACACTTTGGTGTATTAAAACTGTTGGTTCTTTTATTTATTTTTTATACTAGTTTGACATTATTTAGTTTGTTTTATTTTATTTTAGTGAGTGATTTGGGAAACATGATTGTCTACAGGCTGATATATATTTTATCTTTTGGATTCCTATGGTTAGGTCGTCCACCAGCATCTGCTTCAGCTCCGCCAAAAGGTCTTGGTATGCAGTTAGGGAAAACCCAGAGGACCAACCAATTTTTGGAGTCTCTCAAAGCTGAAGGTGAAATGATCGTTGAAGATGTGAGGCCTAGTATTGGTCATTCCAGTGCCGCTGCTCCGCCACCAACTGATCCTGTTACATTGACCGTCGAGGAGAAGCTTAATGTAACTCTGAAGCAGGATGGTGGTATTGGTAACTTTGATTTACAGGGTATTTTGTCGCTTCAAATCCTTAACCAAGATGATGGACACATTCAAGTACAGGTTTCTCCTCTTCCTTCCTGTTCTTTATGAACATTTGGTTTGCATCTGTGTTCAGTTTATTTCAATTGCATCCTCAGTTTCTATTCATGTTCGTGGAATACAACACGCGAGAGATTTATTTCACACGTTCTTTCTTTATTTATTTTTCCAGATTGAAACTAGTGGCAATCCTGCAATTATATATAAAACACATCCCAATATTAACAAGGAATTGTTCTCCGGGGAGAATCTCTTGGGTCCCAAGGATCCAAATCGTCCATTTCCTGCTGGACAGTCTGGCGATGGCCTTCCTTTGTTGAAGTGGAGAATGCAAAGTGCAGACGAGTCACTTGTACCATTGTCAAGTGAGCTTTGGCTTTTCTTTTACCCCCTGCATGAAAATAGCAGAGATGCCTTTTTATTGTTACATGAATATAAATATTTTCTTTTTTCATGTTGCAGTTAACTGCTGGCCTTCTGTTTCCGGTAATGAGACCTATGTGAATTTGGAGTATGAAGTTCCACAAATGTTCAATCTGCAAAATGTTGTGATTTCAATCCCGCTTCCTGCTCTTAGGGAGCCACCAAGGGTACAACAGATCGATGGGGAGTGGAGGTAAGGGATCATCTCAGCATTTTATATATAACCGTTTGTTTAAAGTCGTATTGTGTGGGAATGACTGATGATTCTACATATGCCATTGGAATGGCTCACTGCTTTTTGGTTTCATGACATTTTAAAAGTAATTTCGATATCCTTGATGTGCTTGGTAACTTCTATTTGTTTCTTGGCGGAGGTCAAACAAGGGGTTTGCATTGGAAAAATTTTCCTGTTTTATATTCTTACTGCTTACAGCTCAAATTAATTATTTAATTGATTAACCTAGGTAGTTAAAATAGTTAATCTGGTATAATTTTATTTTGAACCACGAATTTTGATCTGTAGTTATTTCTGTGACGATGTAAACATGAGATGATTATACTTGAAATAAATTTAGTTAGTTAAGTATCTGTTTGTTAATGGACAAATACAAGAACAGTTCTTACCCCTTTACTAAAATAAGTGTTGCTTGTGAAACAAATTCGAATCTACTGCTCATTTATTTAGTGAAACCTGGCCCAGATGCCATTTCCTGTTTATTTTCTTGTTTGAGCTTGAGTATTTTTTTGACATGGACTTTCCAAACTGCTTGGTTGAACACTGTAATGATGTGAGTGGGTAAAACAGTCGGCTTATGTGGTTTCTAACAACAAATCAAGTTAAAGAAATCTTTGCCTGTAACCATACGACAATCGAGGCAACTTGAAAAGAAATAGAGAAAACAGAGAATCACTATGTACATTTGTGCGGTTCACAGTTTTAGCATAAAATCAAATTGTAGGATGATAGCTTGGCATGATGCAATTGTAGATCTTATTGCTTGATGCTTCTTGTCTCTTTTTTCCAAAGAGTATCTAATAATCCCGCTCTTAACATTTCAATTCCTATTATTTAGGTACGATTCCAGAAAATCAATATTGGAGTGGTCTATTGTACTGATAGATAACTCAAATCGCAGGTTGGTGTTGCTTCTTACTATCAGAACAAATATACGGATATATTTCACTTTTTTTTTCCTTATCTGGATATCATATGATATGAATCTAATTTCTTTGCAGTGGATCAATGGAGTTTGTTATTCCTGCTATAGATACATCTGACCTTTTCCCAATATCCGTGCGCTTTACTTCTACCAGCACTTTTAGTGGCATAAAGGTTCTCTTTCTGTCTCCTCCTTCAGAATGCCCTGATATCTTTAGATGCTTGTAAATGTTTTTGACAGAGTATTTTTATGAATGTATCTTGCAGGTGGCGAATATTGTGCCACTGAAAGGAGGCAACCCACCGAAATTTTCCCAGAGGACGCTGCTATCTGCTGAGAACTACCAAGTTGTTTGATTATAGTTATAGTAATTTTGGACACCCGTCTTTTTTCTTTCTTCTCCTTT